GGGGAGGTGCTGCTGGAGCCCTACGTTTCACTAGGAACCCAAGGGACAAATGAATAATAATAATAAATTATGTAACCTGCGATTAACTGTACAACATGTTTTTCATTTCTATAACTTTTTCGTTCCCTTCTCTTGCAGCTTTAAAACAATACAAGAGTACCAGAAGACAAGCAGTTATTATAACGCTTGGTATGATTATAGGTAACAATTTGTGTTTGAAATATACAGTGGAGGAATGAACATGGAATTACACGCAGTACACACAATACCGAAGTTCTACTTTTATATCAAAGGATAAAAACACTGTCAACCTGAGGAAGTACAACAAGAAAAAGTTGATTCCTATACCAATGAGACAAATATTACTCAGTGATACGTCGGATACTTTTCAAAGAATTGGATGCCGACAGACATGTGAGGTCGGTTGGCCGTTCTCACCATGGAAGATTACTTTTTCTTATAGTACCTGAGAAACAAAGTAAGAGTGGTTTTGATGACTTGAGTGTGACTACACAGCCAAAGATATTTTCTAAGCTGTTCCCTTAAGGTCTTTTCGGGGGTTAAAGAATTGGGCTTGATTCCATTGCATCGGGGCTAACGTCGGCACGGGAAGACCACAGGGTAGGGGAGTGTTGTTTTTAGCTCCGACCTATTTTGAAACAAACCCTTCCCCCCAAAGAAGTCAGTATCACTATTGTACCACTCCTCATCCACGGGAAACAACTTACTGCTGTTACACTGCCGTCCAGTCAGCAATATTGACTTCAATCCCAGACCCCTATCATGGTATGAAAATTAACACTATAAGTGGTTTTTGTTTAAGATGACGAATTCAGCGTTGAACCACGCATACAGGTGCATCTGTTCAAGTCCCCACACTTCACAGTAGTATGCAAAGAACAGGTCGACAGAAAAGAACGATGTCAAAGGAGACCAAGTTGTATGATAGTCTAAACAATCTGAAAATAAAGGTTAGTGCAAGTATTTAAGCTTCAGTTGTCAAGGTGTGAATACATCTGCGTCACTGTGGCCGATTTTCAGCTGTTTCACCAAGAATCATCCTCAACCATTGATTCCTATTGTCTCGGGGACTCAAGCCAGGCAGTCTGTATTACTCCATATTTATCAGGCCAACAGTAATGGACTTCATCGACTGGTCTCGTTACTCACAACTTCGCCTAGCATGGCACGTCAAGGTAGGCGGTGGATGGGCATCCACAGTAAATGTTCGAGCTGTCTTTGTCGACGAAGGTTTACAACCTCGCAAATCCAACAGACCTTTGAAGTATGGTAGGACCTCAAGGAACAAGTGTTCCAACCAGTATATCGCATATATCAACTTAGCAGCTATCTACTAGAATGCATACATACTTTATTGAGGTAAGTTAAACTGCCGGAAAATCTGTATGGGGGGTATTACTTAGTCAGTGAAAACTAGTGGACCCGGAAGTATCAAATTTGAAAAATTATATCTCTATTACACGCAAACATAATGTAAGAAGCAACAGGACAAAAAGTTAACAAATATGAAGGTTTAGTTAGAAAATAGGCAAACAGTCATACACATTCAGAATTAGGTTAACTCGGATACAGTGTTATTTTGGTCCAATATTCTATAAATCTAGTCCTAACAACACGATTCGAGCAATATAACGACGATAGAACTTAAGAAGCATCGTCTTTGAGTAGATTATTTATGTGTTTGGAAAGAGATGAATTCGTCGAAAAACCCTCATAAAAGTTAGTCTTAGACGATGACAAAAAGAGACAGGAACATATGAAGAGCCAATCACTGCATTTTCCCACGTAATGGAGAACATAAAATTGTATTGGTACCAAATTCCAACTGATAAACAAAACTTTTGTTCACACATTAAAAGATATGCAGAAGGTTAGTGAAATGTAGACAAAAATCGTGTACCTATAGACTTATGGATGGCCAAAACTCACATTAGTGAATCAAGAGATAAGATATAGAAGCGTAAACAAACAAATGTCTTGGAAAGCCACAAAACCTAGGAGTTACTGACTAGCCAATGTGTAGTTTCAGTGCGAAGTATGGACGATATTTACCAGTCAATTATACTATTTGATACGTCAAGATATTCCAACAAAGAATAGGCGCCTAACAAATACTCTTGTAGTTGACCTGACAGGTAAGTATTATTTAACTGGCCAATCTTGAATACATTACAACGATTAAGATATAATTCTCAAATATCAGAATTTACGTACTCACGTTAAGCTGACTGACTTACCTACCCGATTGCCAAGCGTTTTAAACATAATAGCACAAATCTAACACGGTCTTTCTGCGTGAGTTAGAGTTCTAAACAATACCCTACTACACATAGATGCATAGTAATCAGTCATTTTATATTTAGATAAAAACAGAATGGATTGTGTAAAATAAAAAGTCCACTTAACCGAGGCGATGACTTTAACTATCTCGAAAGCAACACTCAATTGTTAGCTCAGAAAAAGGTTTCACATGTACTTAGAATCCAATGGTGATATTACACTATCAAGCCTCTGATAATAGTTCGGAATGTGAAAGGTAGCAATTCCAAGGATGTGTTGAGTTGGTCATTGGCAGGAGTGAATGTATCTGCGCCATTGTGACCGGTTTTCAGTCACGTCACCAAAGACCGTCCTCAACCATTGACTCCTTTCGTCTTAGGTACCTCAACCCACCAGTCTACATCTCCCCACACTATTCAGAGACTCCATCGACTAGTTCCACGTTCGAGTTTGGTTACCTAGAACTCCCGTTCAACCTAATCCAACTTCCTCTAGCATGTCACATCGAGGTGGACTATGACTCGGGCATGCGCAACATATGTCCAAGTCATATCAGTCGACTAAGGTTCACAACTTCACCAACCAACTTGGCTGTCTTTCCTACTAGTACCCTTTGCCCGATGATTATAGTCCCACAAATGGTTCATGCAGTCAAGCACCTCACTGTCTGCTTGCGCTCAAGACAGAGATATTCTAAATTATCGTAAGTGTAGTTTCCGATTGTTAGAATACAATAATTTTTGGTAGAAGTGAAGTGATCACCAGTAACGCGATGGATTAGACTACGCACATTACCAAGAGAAACGATGGGCTGGCCACTTCAAAAATATCTTGAATCGACCACCACCTGCAATCCGTCCAGAAATACCACCAGCAGTCACAGAATTACCAGTGAATACAAGCTTTTCGACAAAACAGAAGTCCTGGATGCCATAAAGCTGCTGAAATCCGGGAAAGTAACAGAAACAGATGAAATTCCTCCAGAAGCACTGAAAATAGACGCAGAGACAACAGCGGACGTGCTCATACCACTACTGCAGTAAGTCTGGAAGGAAGGAAAGGTACCTGCCTATTGATTGGAATAAGCGCTACCTGGTCAAACTCCCAAAGACGGGAGACCTAAGTCTTTGCAAAAACTGGAGCAGAACCATGCTACACCCCTGTTCACCTAAAACAAGCAAAATATTAAGCCGCATCATCCTGGAGAGACTAAAAAAAATTATGACCAGAACAAGCTGGCTGGCTTCAGGAAAAGCAAATCATGTGAGGATCGAATTGCAACGCTACGTTACTTATCACAAAACAGAGCATAGAATGGCAGCCAACTCAACTCCATCGGCTTTGAAAAGGCCTTCGATAGCGCCGATCAAGAAGTAATTTGGAAACTGCCTCAACAATCCGGTCTTAGCGCCACAAACGTTTATCAACCTCATTCAACAGCAGCTATAAGCTATATGAGGATGCTACATGCCAAGTGATTCACAATGGAAAGATCAGCTCGGTGATGCCTTTGAAGCGAAGTGAAGACAGAAAGGAGTAAGACAAGGTTGCCGCCTACTATCAACGATCATCTTCCTGATTGTGGTCTACTTGACTGAACTGCATCATGCAAGAAACTGTTAGGAGCGAGAAGATGGGCATACACTGGCTGGACCGATGATGAGGCGAGGCAGTGAAGACATGACTTCAAGCGAATGTAGAGAAAACAGAGGTGATGAAGATACCCAACCGCACCACCAATAACAACAAGCACCAATCACCTACTGACCTAGATAGCATCGTTTCAATTACAGTCGGCACAGGCACAGATGAACACGTCAAAGCAAGGATCGAACAGACGCCAAGACAGACCTTCCTGCATAAAGCTGAAATCAGCGTGGAGATCTATTGCACTGCACTTCATTTAGCATAAAGCGTGAACAACATCAGGATTTCCGACACTAATGTCAGTCAAGTCAGTTCAGAGACTTGGCGGCGCATTACGAAAAGCCTTTCCACACCACCCAACAAATATGTAGACGAAGAAAGTGGAGATAGATTGGATTGGACATACACTGAGGAGACCGTTTGAGGACATCAAGAAGCAGGCCACGTCATCAAGTGGGAACCGCATGGGAAACGACGAGTTAGGTGTCCAAGGAAAACATGGAGGGATGGCGTGAGGAAGAAATGAAAGCTTGTGGGCAGTCATGGAGGCAGGTTCAAAAGACTGCAGGGAACAGAGTGAAGTGGAGATATGCAACTGAATCCCTACTTTCCACTAGGAACTTAAAGGGACATAAATAAGAATAATAACATTAAAAACCTATTGGGTAAGATCAGAAAGCGAGGGTCAAAATCCATATCGATACACTTACAAAAATTGATATTTCCTCTGCATTTGAACAACCTTAATCCGAAAGTGATCAGACCAAAAAGCAAACCAAGGGAAAAGCAAATGTAATTCAGTTTACGAATATTAACGCATTTTAAGTATGTGCAACAGGCGCATGAATGAGCAACAAACTTATTGAACAAACTAGCAATAAATTGATGAATTCATCAGCACAATCAAATGAAACTTGTATGTGCGTGTTCTTATATGTTCATGTATATATATATATATATATATATATATATATATGCATCAAAAAATGTTACTCAGTTTCCTATTTTGAAGAAGAATGAGTAACTAGATGTCTGGAAGACTGACAAATAGAAAAACTGCTAAATGTTGTTTTTACACATAAAGCCCACGTACATGAATACAATTTACAAACTGTAATTTATATGATGAAATCATCACCAACATATCTTTGGTCTGTTATTGACTGGACTTGTGTTCTTTACATGTATGCAATAACAGATGCTTTCTTAAAATAAAAAAAACATTCAAGTGACTCCAAAAGGCACATGTTAGACAAAACTAAGAATACAGAAGGGGAAAAGTAGTAGTAGTAGTAGTAGTAGTAGTAGTAGTAGTAGTAGTAGTAGTAGTAGTAGTAGTAGTAGTAGTAGTAGTAGTATAACAGGTTTTTCTTCAGGCGATAATGTAGAATAACTGGAATAATTGGTACACAGGATAACAAAAAACCTGAATATAATGAATAGGAGTAGGTTGTAAAAGCAACACATTTTCCTTTGACAAGCCTAAAGAATAATAACAGTATAGATGAATGTACCTGATGTCTTATTTGTCTAAAAGTAATGCAACAGTATGTTAAATGAAAAGGCTGAAATCGCCATGATGATGAACACTACTACAAACAGATAACAACAAAGTCAACTGGTAGCACATGTTACATACGCTAATCACAGGTTTCCAATGTGTGTATAAACATGTAATGTTGGCAGTGTGCACGCAGAGTAATCAAGATTTTCTTTAGGAACTAGATAACGTCTGCTCAAACCCAAGTTTAACTATTTATATAGCATAGAACAAATGTGAGAATTTTGACAACATTTGTCAGATGTTAATTTAATAACTCCCAGGAAAATAACAAAAACTAAGTAGTTAAACTGAGATAAAACAACAGCTTAGAAAGAAACATGTGAGCTTGTATAATATAACATTTGTTTGTTGTTTAACTGCAGTTTATTAGATTAGATCGACGAACAGGTACATAATGCAGTGAATCAATAAAGTGTGCAGAAATCTTTTTTTCATTCCTGATATACTTGGGCTGATTGTTGTTGTCTACTGGATGGATTGCTTACACCACCACCACCACCACCACCACTACGTGATTTTTGACTACCAGCAGATGGTTCAGTGTTATTTAACTGAACGTTAGCATTCCAGTGATCAGATTTTTGAGGTCGGCTCTGACGTGAACGACGTGGAGGGTGTGATTCAGTGTTAGAACTGTTAAATAGATGAAAAACAAGACGATTCGTCATATCGTAAATTTGGAAACAATACTCTGCATACAAAAAAATTTTTGTGACATAAAATATTTATCGAAATCACTGGTGGAAAAAACCATATCCCACTGTAACATAGTTTAAAAAGGGGTTGCTTGTGTACGCAACGATTATTTGTATTTTCAAAACCCTTTTTTTAACAAAACACGTACAATGGTTCTTAGCATTGATAAGTAATGTGAACTGTCAACTAACTAATGATATTTTGACGGCGAAAATGATGTCAAACATCTTAAAGTTAAAATCTATGCAGAAATATGTCCGCCGAATTCCCATTCAACATAACCCTTTGGATAGGGGATACGAAAAGTTATTGTCACAAATAATCACTTCATTGACATGCTCAACTGACTGTAGTAAGAAAAACGTTTCCACGTCCAAATCTAACGCTAGAAACTCACTTTTCCTAAAAATCATAAAAACAACGCCAACATGGCAACATTATGTCACCGGTGCAAGCTGTCATGCTACATATCAGCATCTTAACATGCAGAAACCACGAAAAATGTGATCGCAAGTCGTAAGAAGAGACGAAGATGTAACAATCAGGCACCAACTTATTGGAACTCAACTACCTGTAGTCAAAAGCATTTTATAGCGATCGTTGCCTTACAATATCAAAACCTCAACAATGTCTATCCATCCATCCAAGTCAAAATAGGATCCGGCATTACTGTGTAACGGTCCTAGTTGCCTCAGCTCATATCAGTACATCAAGTAAAAAGGTAGTGAGGTGAAGGATGAAGATAAGAGAATGCAGTCAAAAGAAATATAAAGTACGAGAAGAAAGAAAAGAGGAATGACAAAATGGTGAGATTCGGTAAAGCGTCGTTAAGATGAGGATAATGTGTATATTCATCTGCGCCACTCACATCGGTTCTGAGCCATATCCTTTAGAGCCTCCAACCACTGGTTCCTCTTGTCTCGCAGACCCCAACCGGCTATTCCACATCGCTCTACATGACTCAAACCAACAGTCAAAGACTTCATACATTGATGCCATGTTTTAGTTTGGCCACCTCGAGCCTTTTTCCAACCTGCACCTACTTCGGCTAACATTGTATGACGAGGCAATCGGTGACTGGGCATACGTAGTACGTGTCCCAACCATTTCAATCGATGAAGGTTTATAACCTCGTCTACTGACTTACCTCTTCTTCCTAAAACTCTACACCTGACGTCTGCGTTACTCACATGGTGACACCACGGAGTACGACCACAAAGGCAATGGTGGTCAAACACTTGAAGCCTTCCCATATCTTCCACTTTCAATGGCCATGTTTCACAGCTATAAAGTAGAAAAGACCGGACTGCTGTGCGTGTGCAGTACACGCGACCTTTGATAGACAATAGGATATCACGGCGGCGCCATAGGTGGCGTGAGTTGGCAAAAGTCAATCGAGCCTTTTGTATTCGTGCAGAGACTTCATTGGTCACTGAGCCACCAGGGCTGATCCTACTTTCCAGGTAAGAGAAGTGGTCGACGCACTCAACCACTACACTCCCTATTGTTAGCCGTGGCACGATATATTTATAATATATTTTAATTTCACCATGAATGTAAATGATAATACTGGCCTGAATGTGATTTTGAGGGGGTTCGCACTTGATACATCTTTAGGTTATCCTGCATGAATTGTAAAAATTGAATGTGATTGCAGTAAGTAGATAAACAAGAATGAGTAGGTACCTTCGTGGCCATACATATGTTAGGGATATTGATGAGGTCATTTGAAAAACGATATTTTGAACGCATACGAAACAATGAGTCCATTCTGTTATCGCACTGTTGTTTATAAGATAATCCATACTGATAACCAGATAGTGTACGAATAATGCAACATGTCAAGTAGTTTTTCGTTCGTAAGACCAACTACTGGGTTTTTCCGGCGATAATATTGCAGTAGTGCATTATTATTTTATTATTTTTCCTTTGGATTTCTAGTGGAACAAGGGCTTCACTAGCACGTCGCCATTTCACTCTGTTCTCTGCAATCTTTTCAACTTGGCTCCATAACTGCCCGGAAGCTTTCACTTCTTCCTCATCTCTTCCATGCAGTGCTGTACATCACAATTTATTTAGTTTGCTGGGGACAAAAATTATGAGTTTACTTAGATGAGAAGAAGGTTTGTTGTCAAGGACGATACGCTAAGGTAAAATCTCAGTTTCTTAACGTAATTTTGCTTAGCGGTGGTTAACAGTCGAACCCATGGCCGTGTGTTCCGTCCAATTTGGGAATTGTCGGCTAGATGCATATCCATCCCAATGAATGGTGGCGCCCCACTGAGGCTCGAACTCAGGCATCCATCGCCTTAAACACCAGGACGTTATCCACTAGGCTACTGGGCCAACAAGAAAATCATATCGGAATGAATCTTCAGTAATACCAAGGAGTTCATACACTAAAAGAGATCAATTCGATCCAGTAAAACAGAGGGGAACCGTAGGTGTCAATAAATTGTATTGGAATTTCCTAGTCTTGCATTGCGAAAACTTACCACTGCAGATGAACACACCTGCTCCTCCCTAATTTTTTTTCGCATTGTCAACACACATAGATAGACTTAAGAAGAAGCTGGTAAAAAAAATACTTCTGTTTTAGTTGCCACAGCTAGGAAAAGTGAAGTGAAAGGAATTCCACCAGAAATTGAGTAATATTACAGTAAAGACGAAGTCAACCAAAAGTCAAGAAGAGTAAATACATCTGTATAATTGTATCCAATTCAGTAGCTACTGTAGTGGGCGTTGCTGATCCGAATGGATATAAGTAGTATGTGTTGAGAGGTCAGCAGAAATCATAGACAATTACCAGCAATGGGTAAAGATCCTGTCCAGAGAAACGCAAGAGACGAGATGTGAGAGTATTAAGAGCAAATCAAGATAGAAGTAGTAGAGGAAATGAAGCACATTATGCAAATGACTCAGTGAAAGATGTACCATATTTGATGACTACTGTACAAGATGTCAATAATAAACATTCCTTCCTGCATCTCAGTCTTCTCGTTTTCTTCACTATATGTTACGCATGCCTAACCACTGTCTGCCTCACCACAATGTTGGCCGAAGTAGGTTCAGGCTGGAGAAAGGCTCAGAGTGACCATACTAAAAACATGTAATCAATGCATGAAGTGTTTGACTGTTCGTTTGAACAATGTAGGGCGATGCAATTGGGGTTCGTGGGACAAGAGAAATCAGTGGTTGGAGACTCTAGGTGATATGGTTCAGAAACAATGTCAGTGGTGCAGATCCATACACATATTATCCTCACCATCTCATTCTTCTTTTTTCTCTCTTACTACTACCTACTTCTGTTTCCGTTGACCGACTTTTCTTTCCTTTCTCCATTTTCCATTTTATTCCCTTGTTATTTGATGTACTAATATGAGGTAAGGCAACTTTGACCGTTTCGCAGGAATCCCTGGTCCTATATGTTGATCTGATGATACTAACGCAGTTAATAGGCATAGGTTTCGTGTAACTGACTATAGGTTAACAACAATTATGACTTGAATCGCATCGAAATGTAATCAACAAATGCGTGCACATTCGTACAGCCACATCTGTGTGAGGCCAAGATGATACTAACTAGTTTCCCAAACCTTGGTAGATGGGACGGGTGTTACAACTCATCACCCACGCATTAGTTGAAAGTTTCTTAGCAGCATCTTCATACTATAAAATAGCCTTGATCCAAATAACTGAGATCAACGAAGCACTAATTTCAAGTTAATATCCTTACAGTGATGTTTTTGTTTGCGAGAAGTAACTAACAATTTAATAAATCACCATAACTTCATTTGTACAATAAGTAAACACGAGATATCTGAAAAAGATTAACACAATATGAGTGAAACGAAACAGTTTAACAACCACATGCTTATCAGTTCTTAATGAGAAATCTTGTATTTAATGATCAAAAGGAACTTGGAATAATACTTAGAAATTTTTTCTAATTATCTGCTTACGTTTAATATTTGGGTTTATTGTGAATTCATAAAGCATTAAGTAGAAAGAGTAGATAAGTATGTTACATAGTATCCGAAGATTAATTCACATTTGGGTAATAACTCAAATAAAACTTGTTTCCAGACTCAACATTTTAAAAATCCACCTACCGATTATGTACAGGTTTGTTCACCCTTGAACGCATACCATCTACTGCACAACCTCCATCATCTGAAGATGATGCATCACCGCATGGAAAGTTGTTCTCATCACCTGGATTAAGAGTATCCTCGCTTTCATGACCCCGCTCTTTATCGGAATAAAATCCATTAGAAGCAGGTGGAGGGCGCGTAGCCCTGTTGTGTCTACCACCATTTGTTCGATCCCCTGTCATCTCATCAGGCAAGTTGTTGGACTCCAAGACATCTGAGTCTTCGGAACCACGACGACGATCAATCACATCACCATTGTCACTGGCGTGAGAATTCCAATCAGAGTCCCGATTTGGTCCACCCATTCGCCGACCGCTCCTTACACCTTGACGAGGGATTCTTCCACCGGAAGCCCGCTGGCCATACATTTCACGAGGCTGAAATACAATAAAAAATAAAATTTACTTCACCTTAAAATATTTTGTCCTGGTCACAAAACAACCCATACGACTCGTAGAAAGTATAACAAAAAATTGGTATTTGAAATGCATAACACTAGTGGATAGAATATTCGCCTGATAAGAACAGAACAGTAAGCCTCATTGAGAATGAAAATCCACCAGTACAAGATTGTAATGCTGCCTACTGATCGTCAAAACAAAAGTGTTTGCATATACAAGATGTAGTAACGCACAGTGATCAAAAAAGGGAATAGGATTATTGTGGAATTAGAAAATCAATACTGTGAAAATTAAGAACCAACCCAATTTATAAGATTGAAAATATTCCAATTCAAACTCAATCGAAGTATACATATTGAATAGCGCTGCAAGTGAACAACACCTGTCAGAATGCGTTTATGAAAAGTTGTACCCGAACGAAATATAAATTATAGTATATGGAAGAGGGAAATTAGCAGATTGCCGTCTCATACAGAAGTGTAACCAGTCAAAAAGGAAATAAGCGGAAGAAATCTAAAACGTTCTTTTTTGACATGCATACAATCGTCACAAGCCATTGAGTAGTATGTTCTCCCAGGTCCTAGACAGCGAGCCATGAGGCACCTACAAATGCTAACCTAACACAACTCTCTTATTTCACGATGTTATCATTCACTGGCGACCTCTCTGACTCTTCCAAAGAGTCTCAGGTGAAGCGAACAGTGCGTCATAGGATTCACTGAAATGTTATACACAACATACATCCAAACAAAGGAAGTCGGTGTTTTAAGATGATCGTACTCAGTGGAATGACGATTTTCATTACACCCACGCATGCAAAATAGCATATCAGCATTAATAACATGACGTTTCTCATGGAGGCGTTTCTACGGAGACAATAGTAATAGTGGATGCGGAGACAACAAATATTCTCAGCTTGGAGAGATGAGTTTTGACATACAAAGAGCAGAACTACCTGCACTGAAATGTCGTATATCCGATCCTACATAGCAAGGTTAACGTTACGGCAACACCAAAGGTGTGTCCCACTCTGGCTTTCGATATACGCTAGGAAATTTCATCAGCCACACCTCTTCCAACACCCATAACTACCCAGGTGCACAAAACTTTCAATAGGCTTCAATGGTTCACTATGCCAAGGGTGGGTTGAAGTATATACCCCTCCTTAATCTTGTAGAGCTAATTCGATGGTGCACAGCACATATCACACATACGGACACTGACTGAGTGTGATTTCAGTAGCTTGTATCTTGTTGCATAGTAAATCAATATCTACACACGAGGTCGAAACGTCCTCCACCTCACAACACACTTCCACCAGTACCACGCATCTCCTTCACTGTTGCCCAGAGAATGTCATCAACGGAAAAGTTAAAGAAGAATGGTGAAACCGAACAGCCCTGTCTAACCACAATATTAAAATTTGAAACAATAGAGATGATTGGCTGTAAGCCTTCAATCAACCTAAAGTGTAGGGGTTTCGAGATGCTGATAAACTCCCTAAACACCCTCTTGCTAACACAAAATTCTAAAATACAGAATAAGAATTGAAAGCAGGCCTAATATCCAAAAATGAGAAGATCAATCTACAATACGTGATGGTGTTTGAGCAGCTAGGGGAGAGTGAAAACATGGTCAAGGTATTCAGGATCTACGAAGCATCATAACAGTTCAAATTTTAGGCACTACTGGCAGCAAATGATGTGCTGATGATCCCCATTCAAATTACTCAGATCTTTTCTAAAGATGGGTATAATAACGGCTTTATTTCAGGGTGATAGATCAAACAGTTTTCTTTAAAAATGTAGCCAGTTGAGATACATTTGAAAATGATAACGAACAGACAATATAGTTCAGATGTAAAAATTACGATATAAAGAAAAATTGAATAAATCATTAAAAATGCTCGTCACAGGAAAATATGATAAGCGTCTTGTGTACTTCATAGTTTACATAAGGGCTGCTATATTGCCTGGATATGCAGACCAGAGATGGTAAAACTGAGGGACTCCACTCCTGAACCTTTGATCTGAGGTCAGGTCCACAAGGTAGAGGAGCAATGTGATATACAGCATTTTCAGGATTACCTGTGACCAGGGTAGGTTTGTATGCCACTCATTCACACTGGATTGTGAAGTTTACGAGCATTACTGGCTTCCTATCAGGTTTTCTCAACTCCCCTAAGCGTACTCTCTGCGTACATCAATTGATTGATAGTGCCGAACGCTCGCTTTTGCCCACTTGCCTTTGTTAAAACACTCTACGACATGCAGAGGCTATGAACACGTGAGTGTATGAAAGCATTTTCTTGGCAGATTTGACGAAGGGTGAGGACACTGAAAGCTCCTATGTATAGTTTGGTGCGCAGGTTCAGAAGACTAGAAATGATATTCCGTGAGTTTAAATCTTTATCAAGAGCTGTGGGTCTGCGAAGAATTGAAGATCACGCAGGAACATTGACGAGAGAAGGTGAGGAAAAATTAGAAGGTAAATATACGGAAGATCGATAATGATCCGAGAGAACTTGAGTACTGACAGAGTTGTGAGGGTGGTTGACACTTCCCAATCGCTTACACTGGGGGATGTTACTTCTTCTTGAAGTAGATGAAAAAGAAATAGAGCCAATGAGTGGTGCGTGACCGCAATGACTACGGTCAAATACCGCTTTTTGGATATTTGAGACTTAACCCTGGTCGTGTTGAAGTCAGCTTTATATATATATATATATATATATATATATATATATATATATATATATATATATATATATATATATATATATATATATATATAGTTTTAGGTTATAAGCACCTTGCAATAAAATGGACCCATGTAATTCTCACCATCGTAACTTTCACTAAACACATCAGTTTGTTGAATAGATTTTATTTAGAGAATTAAACTAAGTTAGACTCATAAACAATAAACGAATGAATAGCTAACTGTTACATACCATTCGTCTTGCACCACGATAGGGTACTGGGTTACCGATGTTTTCATCATCTGTGTAGTGTGAAGAATTAGGACCCCCATTAGCATTCATTGGAGGATGCAGAAGGCCACCACGACCTGGTCGACGTCCACGTCCACCACGAGGATAGTTGGCAATACCACCACGGTCACCCCAGCGACCAGATGGTGCACCACGAAGTGGATAACCCGGTCCAGAATCCGCACCACCATGAGATAAAGTCCTCATTAACTCAAGTTTTTCACTCTGCTCAGTGGAGAAAAAGAGATTAAAGCGATAGGTGGTCGAAAACGGTAAGCTATGAGTGCATAGCCGTCGAATATACAGTGAACTGGTCAAAATCGTGGATTACTTTGAAAAAGGTATTTAAGTACAAACAGAAAGTGCCGTAAGAAATGTCGACACATCAATCAATAAAGCACTGAGATGAAAGATAACGAAATAAAAAAACCAGTTAAAAGTAGTAGAAAGTAGTAAGAAAGGAAGGAGTAAATTAGAAAATGCCGAGTTCAATGTAACGATTAAGATGAAGATAGTGCGTGGATACATCTGTGTTATCGAGATCGACTCTTAGATATATAAGTGGGAGCCTCCAATCAATTTCTGTCTTCAGGCAGACACCAACCTGGAAGTCTACACTTCTCTGGACAGCTAAAGACTTCATCCATTGATGCCGTGTTTTAGTCTGGTCGCCTAACACATTTCCAGTCTGAACCTAATTCAGTTAACAATTTGCAACGAGGTGGAAGAATGAGAGAGGCGGATAAGAGCGAATAATGGAAAAACAGTTCAGCATAAAAAACTGCAATGCCCAATATTTAAAGATAATGAGATGTATTTGAGCTATTGAGATTGACTACAAGTGTCAGTTATAATCCCTGCAAATCCAAACAATCTTTAGGCCACTGTTCAGCATTTTGTTAAAATATCTTGATTTAGACCCTATGAAGTTTCTCCAACCCGATTGTGCTGCAGTCAAAACAGTAGGTAGATCAAAGAAAGGGAGTGCTCGACATCTGTGGTAAATATCCCGGCTACTTTAGTTGATGCATTTAATCAATTTTCATGTTTTGAATAACCTCTCCTCTGATTCACTACATACAACTTCAACTTAGTTTACCCTGTGAATAAGCAACACGCTGATGACCAAACTTTTGTAGATCTCTTGCACTGTCTCTCCCACTTGTGTGTGAGGTTCAACTTTGATTTTAACAGTTAGTCAGTTAAACACTGTCTCACTTTGAATATAAATGTATAAGTAATGTAGTAGAAAGAGAATGAACTTTTATGTTTCAGTTAAGATATATTGCTCGTACGATACATGTCCTAGGTTGACAGACATTTCTTCAGCTTTCGGTCGCGTTTGTCGTTCATCAGGATTGACAAAATCCCTTCATTGTGGATAACGCATTCAAATACTCCACGTTTTATTGTAAACTCAGATACAATCATAGACCTCTGAGAATATCTAACAAATGTCAGTTTTATGTATCTAGTGCGGTTTGAGCTATGCTCAATGACCCACAAGAAAGTAAATAGAAGCGCATGAATACCACTTTGGGTCAGATATCATGATCTTATACATAGAATGAACTTCACCAGGTTTAAAGTTAGTTGAAATTCGTAGTTATTATTTAAGTCACATTACATTCGAGCTCTCTAGCACTATAGTTTTTCATGATTTTCTGGGTGATGTACGTCGATGAATGAATCAAATCGGAAACATAGAGCTGTGGTTCATCGATTTAAGCAATTGTCTTTTGACCAGGTCCTGGAAACCACTCCACCAAACGACAATTGGTCAGCCAGCTACTATCACTAGTCCTCACACAATATGTAACTTACTGTCAACAGCACGAACGAACACAATGTTGATGAGCTGAAGTTCGATCATTGGTTGGTCCTGTTAAACAGAACTCGCACTAGATAGATAAGCTGTAAGTTGTAAAACGAAGCTCCCATTATGAGGATATTACATCGACAATTGAATATGTAAACACATGGACACTATCTGTGTACATCAAAAATAAGGCCAATGCATAAGAGGAAGGCACAACAAAACTGTCACCTCAACTGAAATAGTACCAAATATATATAAACTATTAGTGTGCCGTACTAGTTTTATTACAGTTTGATACGTTGTTTCCATATCGAGAGAAGTAAGCTATAAGAAGCCAGTTAAACCCAAGGCTAAACAAGGTGTGTGAAATTACATTCATATCTCACCTCCATTTTCTCCAGATCATAAAAATAATCCATTTGGAAGTTAATCAAGAGACGAGCCTTCTCAATTGAATCTCTTGTACCAGCGAGTATGAATGCACCAAATTCTTCATCTGCATGTGGTTGAGATGATGCCTGACTACTTCCAGCCTATACAAGTTAGACGATAAACAAAAGCAATGTGAATACTTTGGAGCAAACATAGACGCACACACATCAAGAAAAAACGTAAGAATATGTAGTCAAAATAAGCTGAAATACCTGAAGTACTAAGATAATGAAGAAAAAAAAACATTCCCAAAGTGCAGTAGTTACAAAGCTGGACATCATCTGAAACGAGCGTTTCGGGATAGTTAAAATGAAACCAATAACGTTCACCTTACTGTACAAAACCCGAAAGCTAAATTACCTTGTGAATCAACACCTTGAGCAGTACAACTGGCTTTCACTTACCCTGGAATTGTTCAGTAGTTGCCTACATCGTAAGATCATTGCAGAAACTTCCAAAAGAACCCCGAAACAAGAAAGCGCAGAACGTCTCAACAGGCTAACATTAGATGATGAACGACGTTTGCTGGTTACGTAGAGACGCCTTAGATAGCGCTTAGGAATCATGCATGATCCCCTTTCATTGGTCTCAACTGCTGACTAATCGAACTTTCCGGCAACAATCATAGTAGAATAAGTCTGAAAAAAATAGCGACTAAGATTCTAGGTTCCACAATCATTTGACACTCGAAAGAAGACTAGTAAAAGTTGAAGAAAGAAAACCAGGTACTTTTCAGATCTGATTGGAGGTGTCTCAACTACATCTTCACCCTCAATCATAAAGATTTGGTACACAGACACACCAACGCCCAAAACTAGATGCATTTCTTCACCTGAAAGAGGTCCTTCATTCTGTTGATTCAGAGGTCTTGTGGAAATGCATCTCTCTCTCCACCATTACCCAATCTGGTCACACATGCGTTAGGTGCATCACTACGAAAGGCGTCATATTCGAACATCAGTGAGCGGGCTATACGTAATGATGAGGTATCAAGTGAGTTGCGCATGTCAAATAGTATTCATTAGTAATATCTATTCTCCATTCTCACCTAATTCAGTTACACATAGGCCTATAAAAGTCCACCTCTACTCCTTTGACTTTACACAAACTAACCTTGACACAGTAGACTCCAAACATATAACACAGATGATATACACCTCTCACTTCTGAACATCTTCACAAACAACTGGAGAATGTCTATGACGCGTCTATCACCAACCAACCAACCAACCACTCATACACACATCCAAATGCAAATCGTTGCTCCAGGAATCACCACTACCACCCTGTCCAACAACAGACATTAAAGTGGTTCACTGAGTTGACCACATCACATACATGCCATCTGATTGACAAAACCTGCACACGAGTACATAAGGCCGTTTGGCCTTTATCAATTTACACCACCTATGGTCCCGATGTCATGTCTAATCAACAATTATCGACCGACTGTAATACGCAGCAATTCCATTTGCTCTATTACACGATCGTGAAACATGGTCACTAAAAGCAGGGGCATGAGAAGGCTTCAAGAGTCCCACCACCCTTGCCTGCTAAGCATAACCCCTGTCCCCTGTGACCACCACGTCAGTAACATGCAAGTAAAGTGTCTACTTCTAAGTAGAAGAGGAAAGTCAGTCGGTGAGATTGTGAACCTTCATCATCTCAGGTGGCTGAGACATGTGTTGAGCATGCCTAATCACCATCTGTCCCGTCATGCAATGTTAGGTGAAGTAGGTTTAGATTGGAAGTTCAAAGTGTACAGAATAAAATGTATCATTAGTCCGTCACTGTTTACTTGAGCCACGTAGTGAAACGTCGACTTCTTGGTTGGCGCTCATGTAACAAGAAAAATCGACGGCTGGAAATGCTTGGCGATATGACCTGGAATCGATGGTAGTGGCGTAGATGCATCCACATAATACCTTCATGCAAATTATCACATCACATTTTGTCGTTTGCTTTACCATTTTTCAAGTGCAAGTTTTTAGATTGCCCTATTTCACGCTGAGTCATTGTATCTTGGTGTGCCTATATGAGTTGTAGAAACTTGAACAGCTATGCAGTGATGCAAGTTGCCACGTCGATATTGACTAACTGTTATACTGACGGGATTGTGATAATAAAACAAAGGTAACCAAATAAGTAAACCAGGTGCGGATGATCATATACTTGGCTGAGTCACACTGTGATGGATAAGTGTATATTTCGTAACATGACTATTGTATAAGTTGAAAAATGAGACTGTAAACTTACCTTGAGGAAAACTTTGCGCATTGTGCTTGGCAATGGACGCCCTGGTTGAGAATACTTGATAATTTCCGATTGATTACTATCATCGCTCACAGATATCGGGCCTTCAATACGATCTTCCAAATGGATGTGAATTACACCGGATTTACGAATAATTGACATTATATTAGAAGTTCTTTTGCCAATCAAACGTCCCACATAACGTCGTGGAACACCCAGATATAATTCTGCATATTCTAATTTTGCACGGGCTTGCTTTGCTGCTTCCTGAGTCTAGAAATTTGAGCAAACGAGAGAAGAAAGTGTCATTTCAACTAGAATGTCAAATTTGTGTTTATTTCTAACCACAACTATATTCCTACTCAATTCTTCTCAACTACTGATTATTTACATACTCCAATCACTTATTTCCGCTACAGACATCAGAACATAGGAGAAACAGATGACCTCAGTAATTATCACTATCAACACTATATCCTCGTGAGGAAGCAAGTTTGCATTTGCTTGCTGGTCAAGTTCTACTTCACAGAAGCGTTGAGAGAACAACCGATGGACTTAATACAAACACGTTCTCTAGTAAGGAAGAAACATGTTATATATATTATCGCACACTTAATGGGCAAGAAAAATCTCGAACAAGTGTAAAACAATATTATCAAACAGAAAACACAGTTTTCCAAGTTCCTTCCAGTGATGATGTGAAATGCAATGTGGTTGGTTGTGATGATTTTCATTGGCTGAATCAGTTCACAGACAGTTTGTTTGAAGAAAAGGGTTTATGCTGTCAATTACTTCTTTCATAAGAGATACACAAAAGACAATTAATATAAATAATGATGAACTTGTACTTTAGTTGTGTATGCACCAGTAGATCTGAGTTATACCCTTTTGTCCACCTGATTATTAAACTGTGGTTATATGGTAAAATTATAACATATATATTGTAGTACGATGAACTGATGTACGTTTAACAACACTTTAGTATTATCCAACATTTCAAATGGATTCCATCATTGAGATGGTTAAGTTCCCCCTTAATACGATAAACCGTACCTTATTCTGCTTTCTAAAGAATGTCAATGAGATGGGTAATCTTCATAAACCCATCTCCATGACCCATTTATGATAGGCAGAAGAAATTAACACTGCTACTGTTTCGCAGACAAACTCAAACTGGTGGGGATTACTGAATGTCAAAATGCTTAGACAAACAACATCATTATCGAGACAGCCGGACTCAAGCATAGTATACGCTTACAAACTGAGATAAATCATTTTGAAGTACTGAGTTAAAAGGCAGAGATGTAAGTCTGTCTCTCACCTCGCAGTAGCTGAAACCCGGGTTTCAATTGGGAGGTGAAAACAGAATAAATATTCAGTATGCGTACCCAGTTCGCTGTTAGGCATGCTCAACAAACCTAGTGACCATAGCAGGACATAAGTGCATCCGCGATAGTGAATGCTAACAGCCACCAACTGTCAGGTGATTTTGAGTCACTTCAAAGTTCATTCCAGAGACCACCGAAATAACTGATTAAGTTTCTCTGTCTCGATGGAAAACGTCGTTTCCCCATTTATATCTAAACTAAATCGGCTATAATGGTGACTGTTAGAGCAGGAATTGGTGGTGATTTTGAGAATCACTCGATTTTGACGGCATACAACGACCCCATCCGTTACATATTCTATGGGTCTGTGAAAACATTTTTTGGAGGTAATGGTACGCACGATAAGTATTCTCAAACCAGACTGAAATATACGTAATTTGGTAAGATTTCAATGTACAGTAAGAACGACTATACGACTCAAGAATAAGTCATGAAAACTCGCTTGATTTCTTGAAATGAACTACGAAGGGCATCAAGAGTAGGAATTTCGAAAACAATTTCCAATTAAAAAACGTGTTGGTATCCTGTTTTTCAAACACCAAACGACAAAGACCATCCAAACACTGACGCTTTTGTTAGGGTATACAATATACCACCTCCTCAAAATTCCTAAACGTTCGGGAACCAGTTGGAAATATATTTAGAACTAGACTGACCTAGTTGGGATCTTTCAGACCAGCATAACTACACCTGTAACCACTCTTGTGGATAGACTGACAGTAATTAACCTAGCAACACACTTGTTGTCCGACCACCTATTCTTCTGCCCAGGAATCAAGCAACCATCAAAGGTATAATCTGAAGGTTATTTATTGCTTAAGAATTCGCACACATATTAGCTAACTTACTTTATACTAAATGGCTACAAGGTTGGGTAAAAAAAGGCAACTATTTCTGAGGAGCGACTGGAAGGCATGCTGAAGACATGGAACGTTTGAACACAAAACTTTGAGAATCATAAAGACACTTATTCAAAAGCAATGCCATTTTATCAGCATTGACATTTATAGAGTCTCACGTACAGATGTGAATAACCTCACCTATAAGTTCTTCCATTGATAAGCTTGTAGACACAACCTTAAAATTTTTGAGGATGCTTACAACGAAACAGTCAAAATACAGATAAGTATTTAGAAAATAATCTACACTGTTCACTATCAAATACCGATACTTGAAGCTAGTTGAGAAACTGAGTGACGATCAGATCATACATGCTGGAATCGTCATCCAACGTTTTACACTTTCGTCAGTAAATGAAGACTTATTTCAAGTGTTCCAGTTTTGCTTCCAGCGTTTACTCAAATAATAATGCATGAATGTATTTTGAGTAAGGTGTAAGTCTTCGGAAGTAATACACCAAGTCTACAGTGAATGCCATGTTAGAGGTTTTTAACTCCCGAACAAAACGGAAGAGCGGAAATCATCTACCTACTGACCATAGTGTTACACAGGAAGTATCTAATTCAATTAGGTGGTCAGATGGCGGTGAAATTTCAAAACCACCTACTTAATGGAAATGTGGTTGGCATTTAATAAAATCTTTCCTTTTAAAACATCCTATTGGCGACAAATCCCTATGGAAGTAACGAAAAGGACTACTACAAACCGAAGACATGTTTAAAGGTGCTGAAATTCGAAATTTGCGTTATGTAAGTTTAGGTGTGAACACACATGTGTGCAGACATGGTGAGTACATGGCTGTTAATATTCCCAGGAAATGGCAAAGAAAAACAACTAAGCAAAATATTCTTGATTTCCACCAACTACTTGGATAAAATAAATAGAAATCATACCTTGGCTTCCACAATAAACATTGCAGCGTCGTCGTAATCTCCAGAATTATCGACAGGATCATGATCTCTGGGGCCACATTCATTAGGCTCCCATGAACTAATCCGAACTACATTTGGAATCTCTCGAGCAGAACGAATATTTGCCCCACGGGCTCCTATGGCTAAGCCCATTAGACGTTGAGGAACATAGAACTTTTCGACAAATAAACCAGGATCACTGTTCCAATCTCCACTGGCTTTACCTACCTGTCGTGACAAATCTGGTCCTCGATTGACCTGAAAATTAAGGTCGGCGAAAGAAGGTTGATACAGTAAGATAAACTTGATTTTCACTTTGCTGCTGGATGTTATAAATGATACGAACAGTACAAAATAAAACATGAGACGGCAAGCGACAATTACGTTGAAAGTGTAGCCTCAAAAATGTGGAGAGGAACACAAACGCTGCTTTTCGTAAACTACCTTGTTTGCAAGCAAAATAAACGATCCAATGTTATTAGCAAAACGTTTTGTGAAAGGATATGATGCTAGTCACTAACCAGCGTCAACGTTTATGATAAATAGCCTTGACATAAGCTCTTTACCACAAGAACTTTTTAGTGAGCCATAATATTTCCAGAGAGATATCTGTAAAGAACACCCCACTTTTCAATGATTCTTTAGTTGACATAATTTCATGATGATAAACTAGCTTTAAATTCGAAGACAGAAAACAAGGATTGAAGACAACTATGACTTCAACGCCTTTACTTACAGGAAGATTAAAAGTAGATTCAAAAAAATCAAGGAACTGTTAAGATATACCGAAATACGCTCAGTAACCGCGTGCACTAGGCCTACACCTGCTGTGTGAGCGTTAATTACACCAATATAGGGGGGGACCGGATTCGAAAATGCGACCCCGTGACTGAAAATGAGCGGCCTACACCTATGAGCCACAGCCGCACGAATAAATAGACACAAATTCTTGCGAAATAACGGAATCGTAGCTATCCTCAATTTTATACTACAGCATTATTCAAAGAAAACGAATAATTTATCATTCGTATCCAAAGCAGTCTACACAATCAACCTAAAATGCGTAGTAAACCTTATGATCTAAAACACAAGTAAAAAAGTGAAAATAATCAAAATATAAATTTAGCCAAACCATCTCGCCAATCCAACAAAGCGACAAAACGCACTTCAGATGAGTATACATGGCGTGATTACAACAAGTACATTTTCATATACAAATGGCATTCAGTGAACCCACAAACAAAAATCAGCAAATTTCACATGCGGACACACACCATAGTAACGATTCCCGTTACCAAACTTCATAGCTACATACGAAAGAAAAGTGGGTAGAAAAAGAGTTGTCAGAGTAGACAAGCGTACCAGAGAAAAGAGCATTTAAAAGACGGTCAATGAAAATGCTCAGAAATTCGAAGGTGTCAAACGATGATGAATACATCTGCAATACTGTAACCGATTCTAATCCCTGTCACCAAGATTCTTCAACCATTGATTCCTATGGTCTTGACGACCCTAGTCAGGTAGTCGACCTCTCCTTATATGATTCAAACCAACAGTCGGAGGTTTCATGAACTGGTACCACGTCCTAGTCTGACCACTATGAGCCTTCTTCTTACTCAGTCACACTTCGATTAACATCACGTATCAAGGTAGGTAGGGTGGATCGGTGTGTGCAACAATTGTCACTGCAGTAAGTGAAGGCTAACAACCTCATTGGCTGACTTGCTTACTTTGCCTATTACCCTTCCTCTAACGTCGACATTGATCGCACGCTGATTCCACCATATGTGAGCAGTGCTGTGAAGACACCACCTGTGGTCAGAAAATAAATCTCATATCTTCGACGATCGTGTGTCAAAGCCGTGTAACAGAACAGATCCGAATGCAGTGCAGCATACTCACCTTTTTAGAGATAGTCAGATATCTCTCCGGCTTCACAGATAGTTTGAGTTGGTAAATGCCAACGAGTCTTTGGTGCCTGGACTGAGATTTTGGCGAAAACTAACCCGTTCGGGTCAATGCATCTCCCCCAAGTAGGTGAAATAGTCAGCGCATTCCACCACTTTACTCACCCTTAAACAGGTAGTGGCTGCAGACAAACAAAGTCAACGTAGAACCTCGTAGAAAGTTGCATCGGTTCACGTTGCTACAGAATACAGAAGCATGTTAACAAAGAGTGGTTTGAAAAAGAGTGGTGTCAAAGATGAGAGAATTTGAAAAATGAATGTTAGTAGAAATGTTCAGACTTCAGAGGGAGTAGCTGCCGATAAGTCCTGAAACATCATCTTACATTTGACAGGTACGAAACGTATGCCAAACATACACATATTTCTGCTCAGGGCATCTAGAAGATTGCATTTTGTTGGTGTCTTGAGCCGCAATGGCTGAGCTCTTTTATAGGAATTTTTCTGATTTTCGCTTGCAACTTTGACCGTATTTGGTTTGACGTGTCAGTTACTTGACGTCATGTCTCTCCAATATGTGACATCGCATTCACCACGGTCTACCTTATAAACGCAGTTCTGTGTAGTGTTCGTCATCTTAAAGAATACTCTTATGTTGTAACTGCTAAGGATATGTCTTACTTTTTCTGATGTGCATGTTTGATGAGGAAGTACTACAGCATTTATCTAATATTTGTGGGTTGACTTTTTCATGTCTTTTTCCGATAAACTTCTTTCGATTCTTTTAAATAGCTTTTCCAGATAGTTGTTTTGCTTCAAGACTTCTCGAACAAGTTGCCTATTTGTTTTCTGAGTCTAGGAAAGCTAGCGTTCTGCGTTTTTTTTCAAGTTCATAAGTGAATTTTATGCAATTCAAACGTTTGTTGAGTTATCCGAAAAGATTTTCTACACTCTGTCTTTTGGCTATGACAAAGCTATTATTAACGTACCTATACCATATTTGTGGTTTTAAATCATGCTGGCTAAATAGGTCTGATTCCACTCTGTATATACACAGATTAACTACAATATGTGAAACCACTGAGCCCATTGCTACTCCGCTAGTTTGACGATAGAGATTTCCTTGAAAAGTAAAGAATCATACTAACTCAGTGCACAAGTTTTTCCAAACCGCCCACTTTTCTCCCTTTTCATAGACTGGAATGACCAATAAAGTAGGCCAGTCTGATAGGACTACCTCTAATTCCCATACGCTGCCTAGTGCCTCCGTAACCCTGTCCAGTGATTTCCTGCCTTCATTTTCAAAAACTTCAGGTATCCAACAGTCAGGTTCTGCAGCTTTACATCATCTTAGGTTTGAAACAGCCTTCTTACCTCCCAGCAGTAGAAGGACCGGCATCTACATCTCACTTAGGACCGGGCTGGATGCTGGGCAACTCAGGAGCTGCTGCAGGTCAGTTGACCTGTGCTTTAAAGTGTTCCGCTCAAAGCTTTATCCGTCTGTTTTGAGAAATCATTAAGGTCCCATCCTTTACAGTGATGATTTTAATAACCATCATCTTCCTCTTGTTAATACCTTCATTAATAGTAACAATAGTAATAATGATAATAATAATAACAATGGTAATAATACTAATACTAATAAAAATAAATTGTAAAACAAAGATACTCACTTCAAGGTTCCGCATAGTTTGTCGCAGGCTTCGAGTTAAAGCCCATTTTTGACGCAACATTCTCAAATGCGTATCCTCTAACAAGGCAACATTTTTCGCTGTAACCGGGTCTGTAGTCAACACGATCAAGCCGGACGACTCATTATCGTAGTATACGCTTACAGAACCACCACAGTGACGCAAAAAGTAATGATGGACAGAAGTATCAGAAGCACTGAAATAGGAAACGAAAAGATTCCAATTTTGTAACACAGCAAAATTTGATAGTGCATTGAGACTGAGATTATTGTATTTCAATAAAGCATTTGGTTATTTCCCCTCATTTCTTATCGGGTAGAATATTTAAACAACTGTGTATATGCACTAGAAAATGAGCTGAACCTATTGCAAGAGGGCTGACGACAATACCTAGCCGCTAACACTTCAGTAGGTGGAACGAGTTTTGAACGCTTGACTCACTAGTTGAAAATCAAGTTCTTAGACCAGTGGAGCCACAACCTTAGAGATACCTAACGAGCACTCTGGACCATCAAAGCCACATTAGCTGACGGTTTCGCTTGGCATGAAACATAAGGAATTGTCAATAAGCTGTGAAGAATGAAACTGGTCCAATTTTCTGAACTGTCCTAGCTGTGCGAGCGTACTAATTTACATCAGAGATGCATGTATTCTTGAGATGTACAACGGCGATCTCACCACATACACAGCAGCATTCATACTTCAGACTAAAATTATTCGAGTTTTCAGATACCATTAAAAGTTATATTACAAAATTCATGAGATAACCATGTGAATAATGGAACTATGGAAAACCATACCAGTAAAATTTTAAAAATGCATTTTAATTAACACGGTCTCATTGGTCAAAGTAGAGATAACTTACAAATCTGCCAACTCTTTTGGGATCTCGATACGATGTCGATGGATGTTATCTGGTGATAGGCATGGACAATCGTCACTGGGTTGACGTAAGATTTACGACTCACAATATCAGTAACGGTGGAAAGCTGTGTACAGAGTGAAATCTCTGAGGGAGTTGCATTGGCTGGTGGGACCACGTTGAGTTTCACGACAGCAACGTCATCACGAACTTTGATGACACGGCAAGGCCACCAAGATGGAATTGAGAGATTGTCCCAATTGTCATCTAACACAAGTTCAACCTCCGGTTTGCTGGCAGTTTCATCGCCCCAGCGACCAGGTAAAGTAGTTTTGTTGCTAGAAGTCTGATCAGTGGCAACAGAAAACAAGACCTCTCCATTTTGTCCAGGCTGGATATCCCTTATAAAAATTAAAAAAGAAAGATTTATGTATTTCAAAATAGATCTCCCATAAATTTTTAAATTGATACCAGACTGGATTGTATTTAGCAAACATACTACAAACAGCCTGAATATCTTGAGTTCCCATGTAAGAAATATACTCAACTTTCGACTGACTCAGTAGATTTGGAAAACTACATTGGAAGCCCTCCGATAGTATCTACGACCTACTTAGAGATGAATTAAAGTAGTCTGGACGGAGTATAAGTCTTCGTTTTCGTGAAGTGTGTCGTTTTCCGCACGCTACTTTGCCTCATCTCATGGCTTTACATTGATACAGAAGCTTCGATAGTTCAAAGTTGATGCAACAAAACTTAGAATGCAGAAGTCAAGTACGTAGCTATGGACAGTTAACTTCAAAATAACATAGCTCTAGTAATACTGAGGAGAGTTGGAAAAGAAAATCACTTGTCGCTCTTTGGCTATGTCTAAACACAGCTAACGATAGAAGAAAGAAAATGCAAATCTCAAGATAAGAGTAACATTCGATAGTGGCTTAATGTCTGGTCAGTGTGACCAGGCAGTGTCAATACTTGGTGAGGCGTTTTTTTCAAAATTTGTTTCTGCATGAACATAAGGTGAACCCTGGACGCAATGGTAAACTTGATGGACATAAATGGTGCGGTTCCCATTAGAACTACCATTAATTTACCAATGGAAATTGCCAATGACATTGTTGTTGATAATAAGTGATTAGTTTCAAGATATCTCAGCAAAAAAAGGATGGACAGTAATCATTTAGTACCCAGAGTGAAATCATTTACCGACGAAACAACTGATTACTTCTCGCCCTTTTAAGATAGCCGCTGCAATCATTCGTATGACTCTGATATGCGTATTCAGAGGTAAATTTTCCCAACACTACCTTATAGACAGGATATTTGTGAGGACTGACGCCAGCGGTATTCATACAAAATTTATTAAGATATCAAGTGTTGACAAAACCAGTTATTATCGAGAGAGGATAGACAGCTAAGACATAGAATCACACGCACATTAACACTCCTACACTTCGCAAAAGCGAGATACTAAGATTTTAAAAATATGCGTGGGAAGAATGCATCGGCAAAGCGTTAAGCATAATCAGAACTTGAAGTGAAAGAACTAGGTGTTTGTCACCACTGACTGACTACAGACCGTGAAGTGTTTTACCAGTTTCTGAATGAAGGGAGTACTGAAAGAACTAGTAATGTCAATCAAGGCTTTTTACTCCAACTTGCCCAACCTTGGAAGAAAATATTAGTTGTCATGCAAACTGACAACAACTAATGGTGTCTGCTGTTATCATGCCAGTTTAACTTCATTATATGTATAAATGGATATAATTTTAGGTACCTACATATCTACAAGTGTTCATTCACTCCCTGAACAAGAACCAGCTGACTTGGAGCAGCCAGCATCGCCCCGTGAGACGAAACCGCTAACAAGTGCAGTCTTCTAGATGCCCTGAGCAGAAATATGTGTATGTTTGGCATACGTTTCGTACCTGTCAAATGTAAGATGATGTTTCAGGACTTATCGGCAGCTACTCCCTCTGAAGTCTGAACATTTCTACTAACATTCATTTTTCAAATTCTCTCATCTTTGACACCACTCTTTTTCAAACCACTCTTTGTTAACATGCTTCTGTATTCTGTAGCAACGTGAACCGATGCAACTTTCTACGAGGTTCTACGTTGACTTTGTTTGTCTGCAGCCACTACCTGTTTAAGGGTGAGTAAAGTGGTGGAATGCGCTGACTATTTCACCTACTTGGGGGAGATGCATTGACCCGAACGGGTTAGTTTTCGCCAAAATCTCAGTCCAGGTACCAAAGACTCGTTGGCATTTACCAACTCAAACTATCTGTGAAGCCGGAGAGATATCTGACTATCTCTAAAAAGGTGAGTATGCTGCACTGCATTCGGATCTGTTCTGTTACACGGCTTTGACACACGATCGTCGAAGATATGAGATTTATTTTCTGACCACAGGTGGTGTCTTCACAGCACTGCTCACATATGGTGGAATCAGCGTGCGATCAATGTCGACGTTAGAGGAAGGGTAATAGGCAAAGTAAGCAAGTCAGCCAATGAGGTTGTTAGCCTTCACTTACTGCAGTGACAATTGTTGCACACACCGATCCACCCTACCTACCTTGATACGTGATGTTAATCGAAGTGTGACTGAGTAAGAAGAAGGCTCATAGTGGTCAGACTAGGACGTGGTACCAGTTCATGAAACCTCCGACTGTTGGTTTGAATCATATAAGGAGAGGTCGACTACCTGACTAGGGTCGTCAAGACCATAGGAATCAATGGTTGAAGAATCTTGGTGACAGGGATTAGAATCGGTTACAGTATTGCAGATGTATTCATCATCGTTTGACACCTTCGAATTTCTGAGCATTTTCATTGACCGTCTTTTAAATGCTCTTTTCTCTGGTACGCTTGTCTACTCTGACAACTCTTTTTCTACCCACTTTTCTTTCGTATGTAGCTATGAAGTTTGGTAACTTGAACTGATGAGTTGCTGTGCAACGTTTTGCGTTGACTTAGATTTTCTGGTTGACACTATGTGCTGGGGATGTAAACTGTTGCCTTTTAGGAAGCTTGTTAGATATTTCAGTGTTACCTGTCACATTAATTATCAGTGACAGCTTCTGATTGTTCTGTAGTATACAGACGATACCTTTCCCAGTTAAAAATCTTGATAACCATTTTAAATACAGAGGAAAAGGTTCGGTATGCTAAACATTGTTTGTTTCCTCATATAACGTAAGATCACGTTTCAGAAGGTAACTAACGGTTCAGTTAGCATCAAAATCGGCATTGACGCACAATGGTCAAAGTCTCCACAGTTCATATTAATACATCAAAATACAAAGCTGCAACATAAGGTACGGAGAAGGGAGTAAGATCAGGGTATTCGGGGTACAGCTGAAATACCAGCCATTCAGAAGTTCAAGCTAGGGTTGTGTCCCAAAAAAGTACGTTCAACCTGTTTTTGTCATGGTCAACAAAAGGTTTAGACCGTCGTACATTTACCCTGTCTTACACAACTACATTTTATTTTTGTGGCCTTTTGTTTATTTTCCAACTCTAAAACCTAATTCGTACTAATTAACTGCCTTTCTTCATTCAATATATTTTGCCCCTTGACCAGAAATAATTCTAAAATTTTCCGCCAACTGGGTAATAAACATGCACAAATGTACAGCTTAGCAAATGACTTAGTCGAAAAAAAAATTTTTTTTCACTGCAACTGTCTTCTGTCTTTTCGTACGAAGATACATAAAAAATCTCAGAAGTCTCAGGAAGTCATAAGAGGTTAGCAAAGTGATAAAATGTGATGTGATCTGGATGTAGATATTACGAGGATGCAACAGCACCCGTCAATGATTCTGAGCTACACTATCTCACTAATACAGTGACATGGTTGAATACATAGACCGGCACTAACTGAATGCTGCCTGACAAATTGTCAGTATGAATGCAAAAGGTGATCTGGCATTTATAAACCAGTGCGATATCCAGTACCGACTGTGTCACTAAAGGACTGTACTGTGCAGCAAGTACCATTGCCTTCTTGAATGGATGTCATACGTGACCACCGAAGGTTGAAGACATGAATTCACGTTTTCGGCTATAGGTATCTCCGTAGTATTGATGTGTGGTCGAACCACAGAATGAACATTGGGGCTATACGCAAACAAGTTACAGGAGGAAACCCAGCCGACGAGATTTCTAACTCATATTGATTAAGATGGTTAGGACGTGCTGTCTATGCCTAGTTACTGTCTATCTAGACACAATATTACCTGAAGTATGATTGTGTTAGAAGCTAAGAATGATGAGAGTGAAATGTAACACTAACCTGTGAAGCTGTATACTATTAGGTCTGAGGAAGGGTAGACAATTTCTGGTTGCCTATATAACCAACTCGATGAATTAAGGTAAAAGTAGAGTGATACCATATCAGTTAAGAACTTAGCTCCAAACAAAACGGAAAAAGAGCACAAAAATGAAAACAAGGTAGGGCGACAGAAAAGGTTAAAGGTGATGCAAATGTGCAGTCACCAACAATTGCGTACTTGACCATGAGACATACCTATTACTGAGATTGGTGACCATCTAGGTCCACAAACTTATTAGTCCAGGTAAGTCATACAGAGTGAGCCACAAAAATGTTAGGACAAAAATTCAACAGACCGTGAAAGATCATCAGAAATTTCACTGACCCAATGTTTCCTTCTAGACCTGCTTTATTATTTCAAGGGTACGCTGTTCAACTTGTGGCAAATGAAGTTGCTTACACTGAGGGAACGAGTGTCAACATTTGTGAGAGCGGTTGACAATTTCCAGATGCCCACGCCGTAGAAGGCTGGTCCTTCTTGCTGTGCCTGAAAAAAAGGTTAGTGCGTGACCACAAAGCCCAAGTGACATCTGCTTGGGGCCAGTCATATACGACCCTTGTTTAGAGTTTGACAGCTTAGCCTTTGTGTAATTCCGACTATCAACCTTATCGCTGCCCCTGTATGTACTCCGTATCCCGTAGGGAAGGCAGTATCAGTAAGGCACTGCTAGCATCTCCAGGGAACACCTTACTGCTTTAAACCCTCCAGCCAGCAGTAAAACTTTGCTCCAAACCCCCATCATGAAGTAAAAAGGTTTGCTACGTATAGACCTCAAAATTGAAAAGAGTTTTTAATTTGCTACTTTTATTCCTGGAAGGATGATAACATTGAATGAAGTTATCCAGTTATAATACAGTAGGACCTGGTATATTTACTCAGAAAAGAATAACTGGCAACTTCACATTTCTCTATTCACATAGAAAGTCAACTGAACAGCTATAATAATAAATGATGGCAACATTTAAAATGCTGTGCATACAAAATAGTCGACAAAAATTCTTTCATTTAGATTATAATAAAGAATTTTAATGACACTGTTGCCCTATAGTTTACTAACTACTTTTGCCATTGTATTCTCTTCATTTGTCTTTTAAGCCATTACTATAAGACTATTAATTTATTGGTGAGTTAGTACCTAACTTACTACTACTTACATTCAGACATCATGTAGTTTCTCCCTATAAAATATTCAAACTAAAATATGTTCAGTTGTTCAGTTATTATTATTTTTTATGATTTGTTCTTTGGGTTCATAGTGGAATATAGAGCTTCAGTAATACGTCACCATTTCACTCTCTTCTCTCCACTCTTCTTTATTAACCTGTATTTACAATTGCCCACAAACTCTCATTTCTTCCTCACACAATATCCTCCATATCACCCTCGTTTCCCAACCCCCATCTCGTCGTTTCCCATGTGGCTCTCACTCGACGGACTGACCTGGCACGTCATCTCTCCAAATGATCTCAGTCTATGCCAAATCTCATATATCTTCACTTTCTTCTATATATTTTTTGGGTGATAGGTTCTTGGTAGATATGTTGACAACCAGAGTTCCTTGTTGCTTATTCTTATTATTCTGACCATCTGATCTTCAGTATTGAGTGAGCGTAGGCGGCAGCTGTTGACGAATGTATGTAGTTCTTTGGAAATACTTTTCGTGACGCAACAAGTCTGAATCATGACACAGAAGCACTGACTTGACTGACATTAGTGTTGAAAATCGGATGTTGTTCACACTTTATGCTGAGTGAAGTAGATCTCCACACTGATTTCCGATTAATGAAGGTCTGTCTTGCTATCTTTCCGATCGTGGCTTTGGTGTCTTCACCTGTGCCGCCGCTTATAGTTGAAACGATGCTGCCTTGCCTGGGTGGTAGGTGAAAGAGAGTACTTCGTTTAGATTCCTCCTGTTGATGGTGATTGGAGCTTCTTCTTGTCGTTGTTGGTGTTGGTTAGATATCATCATCACCTCTGTCTTCTCTACGTTCACTTGAAATCCCGTCTTCACTGCTTTGCCTCTTCTGTCAACGTTTTGCATTTCGCGTCTAGATCTTCGAGTTTGCGTGACAAGACATTAGACATAAAGCATCATCGGCAAAATCCAAATCTTCTGTTATCTTTTCATCGGTCCAGCCAGCGTATACCTATCCTCTCGCTCCTCACAGTTTGTTGCATGATCCAGTCCAGTCCAGTAGACCACAACCAGGAAGATGATCGGTGATAATAGGTGGCAACCTTGTCTTACTCCTCTCTTCACTTCAGTTATTACGTAGTTCTAAACTGGTCGATTTATTTTATCAAGTCTAAGAAAATTAAATATTAGTTGTTGATCTGTAAACATTTATTGGTTTGAAGGTAATGTAGGTCTTGGATTGATTTCACATAAGTTTTTTAATTTCCTACAAGTGCACATCCATGTTTCTGAGAAAACACCAGCTAGGGACCATCAATTTCTCACTACAGACTTGTTACGGTTCAGTTACAGTGTTGGAATCTGATGAATTACCACTTTCTTTTCTTGTTGTTACAAGATATCGTGCAACCATTGATAGAAAAACTACCCTACTGTCAACAAGCTGCAACGAATAGGTCAAAATTACTTGTGAATGAGTAGTTGATTGATAACTCACTCGTTATCCGACCTGAAAGTTTTGAGCTCCATCTTTCTCAGGTTCATAGATATGCACAGCTGAGAGGTATCAAGTTAGAATGAAACAGTTATACAATACTCTCATGTTTAGTGATCAAATGAAGTATCAATGTTCATATTAAAAACATAGTTGATGACAAAAAGAAGCATTTTTTTTCCATTTGAAACATGAACTCAGGAATGTAAATTTCTAAATGTTAGTGATCTCTGAGATGATTGATGTAGTTAACTTTTAAATAAGATTTCAGCTAGTTTATAAAATGATTTATCTCATTATATTATATAGAAATAATAACTTAATGATTAATAAAAGCATGTGACCTATTGCCTTATGTTTCTCTCATTGCATTATGATCAATCAGCTAGTATTTTACTTATTGGATATACAGTTACGGTTCATTGATTTAAGGAGTTGACTGATAATCAATCAGTAACGGGTTTAAACATCGTTTCATCTATGGAGGTTAGCGATAGCCAACTGGTAATATTAACGGTCACTGTGACTCACTGTCTACTGAACGAAGATGTAAAATGTTGATACTAATTGGATTCGAATACTGTATATTACATGAAATTTTAAAATGTATGGTACTTATAGTTATGCTCTTCTGACTTATATGTAAGCATTATTATAATAATTAATAATAATCTGCTTCTTAACCGTAGAATCGAATAAAAATATTCCTAATGTTTCATGTTCCTGATTACTAGAAATGTATGAACATGTGATGAATGCCGAAGAACAAGAGAACAAAATTATGATCAGATTTATAGCTTAAATAATGTCATGAACTGTTTTTTTGTGTATGTTAAACTCACTGTTAAATTCTTTATACAATGAAAATTTTCCAAGTATTTATAGTATACTGTGCAATCAATCCATGTATAACATATTTTAGATGATATTAAGAACAGGAACATGAATTTTTAACGCATTGAAAGCCTTACTCATTCACTTGATAGTTTCAATTTGCAGATTGTCTCATTTTATCTTTATGAATCATTAATCTTTTATTCTCAAATGGAAGTACATCATTTGTTGGTGCTTACTGAGGAGTCAACTCAAGTTTTTTTTACTTCCAGGTCACTGCCAAACTCTCACTTTTCTATGAACACCTAGAGACTAAACGAAAATCTATCAAAAGTTGATTGTTACAAATAAATCTTATTAAGATTATTGACCAACTTACAGAAAACATACAGTTCTTAGCATTTCTGATATAAAACGCCTATGTTGTATGGATAGAAACGAATGTTAGAAAATTTGTAACCCATAAATTGAATACTGTTAACATCCATAATCAATATTTTCCAATAGTCTTATAAACACTAAAATTCCAGATGAAAATAAAACGAATGAAGAACTTTCGAAATCACATTTAACTTTAACAGACAGTTTCTTAGAGGTTAGAATTCCTATCATGGAAATCATTATTGACTTAACGCATTCGAAATCTTACTCTTTTACCTTCCAGTTTCGATTTCTAGACTTTCTTACCTCTTCGTTGTCAAGCTCTACCATTCGTCAGTTATTTTTTATGATTAAAGGTAAGTAAATCGTGTCTACTTGATGGGTTGTTGGCTCACCTTTTTCTGTTCATCTTTTCCCTTCCAGATTCTCACAGTCACCACCAAACTCACACTGCTCTACGCCCCCCCTCCCTCCTACAACTACGTAGCTACCTACGGGCTATACGAAGACGTATTAACAACTGGTCGTTACAGACTAACCAAAGCTTCCTTCCGATACATCATTGGAGACATCATAGGACAACTGGTCCAATCAAATTAAATATACCTTTAAAAGCCCCAAGAAATTTGTATGATAAAATGTCGAAGATAATGTAGATCATGAAAAGGTGGGTACTTGTTGAATTTGGTGAGAGATGCGTCTAGTTGAACAGTTCTAGAACATAACAACATAACATTCACCAGTTTGGAGTGTTATTCCAATGTTACTATGTGTATGCCTTTCGCAGCAACTTACCTACAACATCTATAGCCACAACTCCATGTGTCTGATATCTTTTGGCTAAATTTAAAGTTCGTTTAGCTGTCTTCGGTGCATTTCCCATAATTGTTAGAATTGAACGAACTTCTGTGTTGTACTTCTTGCTAGATCTTTCAAATGAATCTAAGATTGTTTTCAAAACTTCCTCTGCATTAAAATCACGACCAGTTAAAGTAAATGGACAAAATCTTGTTTCCACATAACACAATCCACCAAGTTTTACACAGTCTTCAACAAATTCATTACAAACACGTGCTAGATCCTCCTAATAGTAAGTAAGAAAACAGATAGCATAAAATCATTTAAAGTGGAAAAAGCATTTGGAAAACATATATGGAGCTATGGCTTATTAGATTGGGGCAGTCGACTTTCAGTTAATAGGTCATAGGTTCGAACAGCATTCCACTTATCGAAGTTTGGGCATCCAAGTAGTGTCAGTAGCTATGATATGATATTCCTGTGTTCTAGGATTGATAAATGTGGAGATTTAGATCTATAAAAGTTTACGTGCTCTCCAAAAACCACTCTATACACTCACACAGTGACCTAACACATATCTGGAAAAAGAATACAGTTTTCAATAAAGCCATGACATTAAAACTATACGCATTGTACTACAAGTGGCTATTATGACTTAGTCACATATAAATGCAGGCTGTGGTGTTTGAAGCGACTAGTGTTAGACTCGAGTGTTAGTAGAGACAATATCATCCCTTGACAAGCAGGTACATTCAGCTGATGAGTCCCAAATAGCACGAAACCCACGTCCCGGATTCCATCACTAGCCATTTTCCATCATTACTATCAATAACAGTCTTCTCCCGCATTAGTATACGACTAGTTGTCATTAGGTGAAAAAAAATATTCAAGAATAACATTATGAGTATGGAAATACAGTAGAAGGTGAAACTACCTAAACCATTTTTGAAATCAGATTAACCTGTCAAAATCTGAACTCTGTGCAGATTAATATAATGCTGTATACATTGAAACATTTCCAAAGAACTACAGACATTCATCAACAGCTGCCGCCTACACTCATTCAATACTGAAGATCAGATGGTCAGAATAATAAGAATAAGCAACAAGGAACTCTGGTTGTCAACATATCTACCAAGAACCTATCACCCAACAAATATATAGAAGAAAGTGAAGATATATGGGATTTGGCATAGACTGAGATCATTTGGAGAGATGACGTGCCAGGTCAGTCCGTCGAGTGAGAGCCACATGGGAAACGATGAGATGGGGGTTGGGAGACGAGGGTGGTATGGAGGATATTGTGTGAGGAAGAAATGAGAGTTTGTGGGCAATTGTGAATGCAGGTTAATAAAGAAGAGTGGAGAGAAGAGAGTGAAATGGTGACGTATTACTGAACTCAAAGGACAAATAATAATAATGCATTGAAATGTTGTTACAGTTGTTATATAAATTAAATAAAACTTCAGATTCTCCTTCTTATCACCCCTTCACTCTCTCTACAATTGCTACAGTTTTAATTTTGACCTCTACATATGAAGTACATACATAGTTCAGCACTTTAACTTTACGGTATGTAACCTTTTCAAAGTTTATAGATTTCTGTAGGGTTTACATAGTTGTTTATAGTGTTAATGCAGATATTTCAGTTGACAATTTTACTCTATATTACTAAATACCGATTACAATTGCTATCAACCAACCTTACCCAAATGCATAAATTTTGATGACCCGTTTAGGTTGGATAGAAAGGATTGGCTAAGATATTAACATACAATGGAAATCATATAATCAGTAATAAAAATAATAAACATTTAAAAATAATTCCAGTATGTATTTAGGCTAGAGCTATAGACTTCCTTCTGAGTTACTAGTCTTGATAACCATCCATGTTTGCCTTGGTTAAAATATTTAATCATAAAAATACCTTTGTTCGACCTGAACACCTATCCTTGGTGGACAAAGAGATGTAGTGTGACAGCCACGATTGTAAGCGTCACATGGTGTGCATTCACTTACACTACCTGAATATAAACATTACAGTAAGCCTACTGCCATGTAAATGCATAAGTTTTGCAGCAAAAACTAATATCTAAGCTCATCCGGGAAGCTATTGAGTTTGTACTCGGAAAAAAACTTCCATTTAGTGGGGATAATTTCTTGACTTTGCCAAATGAAGTTTCATACGATGGTGCAGCTGTTATTCCAAGTCATACAAGGAAAAATAGACTTTTTTGTTGGGTTCCACATGACAACAGAAACTGGTGGTTGGAGACTTTAGAGGTGTGCTAACTTGGACCGTTATGCAGTAATGTCTTATCCTATATTGATATTGATGATGATGCAACCAATGTTACAGGGGTTAAGTCTAGCGCAAAATTAGGTAATCAGAAGTATAAAAATGAGTTGGCAGAGTTAAATACGGCTGTTTGCAAGACATGAACTCATCGTCAGACGAACTTGGAGATGGCGATTAGACTAACTGAAGTGCAAACCATCTGTCACTCTTAACTCAGCATCAAAACCGATAGCGATGATTCAATGGGTGAAATTAATTAGATTATCCCAAAGAAAGCTTCGCGAAAGCCTCCAGGTGGCTCTACTTCTACTCCTGCAGTAACACAACTATGTGAGGTTTCAAAGGCTGTCAATAAAACCCCTAGGGATCTTCACCCAACAATGAGTGTTATCTTTTGGAATTCCGATGGGCCAACAGATGTGGGCCATCCTAAACACCGTGCTCAAGACATGAATTTAGTTGACGGTACCACTTGGCACTTCTTAACAGAACACATCGCTTATAGTGCACATCTAAAAGGTGGTCAGACAAGGTAAATAAGACGAAAATAAACCCGACTCAAGGAGAATCACAATTGTGGTTTTCAGAAACAAAGAACAGATAATCATTAATTTAGATAACGCATACAAGTAGCACAACTTGAATGTTCGTATTCGTTTCGAGTGGCCTCTTGAGGACAGAATGGAGAGATAAATGGCCTTCGAAAAACTTCAGGCTCGGGACGAGAAAGAGGAACAGAATATTAAACTTGTGGTTTTCCAGGTAGCGGGATCTTGCAAATGAACCAATATATATGGGTTTACCTGGCCTTAACTCTAACACCTTGATGCTACAGCATATCGGTAATCACAGCCTACTGAATAAAACGTTAGAGTTAACGGTTTTAGTCAATGAATTAAGTCCTAACTCAGTTGCGTTAACGAAAATACAGTCCATAAAAGATGTGGGTTTATTTCCTCCTATCTGTGGGTACTCCTACGTTCCAACTGACAACACTGTCGCAATATTCACCTGCGAGGATCTAAATATAAGGTGGACTAACGTAGAAGCACATGAAAACGGTGCATTCGAATTAATAAACAACAATTCATTTAAAATTAGGGCGATCGATCAGAGTCTATGATGCATAGTGTACTTCTTTCGAAAGCGCCTACATGAATGGAGTATTACTAATAACAGATGCTTGATAAGAGGCGATTTAAAAGCATCATACGTTACTTTTGTGAAGCCCAGATCTCCAGATTTAACCAACTGCTTCTATGGTGACGTACTTTTCAAAGTTCTACATAGTGTTCTGGTTCAAAACGTCCCCAGTTAAGTGCATTTCGATCCAGAACATAGACCATCGCCATAAGACTTGTTTCACATACATCAAAGAGTGAAAATATTTGACCTCCATAAGTTAGTGGTGATCATGTAGTAATAATTTATAAGTTTCTCAGGTACGACTCAGATTACGATTTGGTTCTCTCCAGGAGAAATGTACGGCGCTTGGATATGTTAGCCATCAACGACTGTGGAGGTATACTAGAGTGGGCTGTGGATAAAGGAGGCCTGAGAAGAATTCAGAGCCAGATGTGGCGAAACAACTTCAATGTCCATCTTACAGTCAACTCCATACAGTCCTACTCTCTGCTCCCTTATGGCTCCATAAAAGTGTCTACAGACTTCTAAAAATAAGGAAAAGACTGTGGAACATTTTTAAAGGTCTTTAAAACGGAGTGCTGCAAAGTTAGGAACATATGTGAATCAAATATTACAGGTTCCAGGATAACATACAAAAGGTAACTTGTAAATGAGTACCAGGTCTGTCAAAAATAGTTCCTCCTGAACATTCATAAGAAAACTAAGGGTAAGGATGATGTTCTACCTCTTCTATCAGGTAAGTATTTAGAGGAGTTGACTGAGTCTTATCTGTCTCAAGTTGGGTGCCTCTTCAACTACTACAGTGCAGTCTTCTCAGTAGACAGAAATTTTGCTGTTCCAACTAGTATTACTAAAGGCATCCTACTGATGAACCCTGTACACGCTGAAGAAGAGGCAATCTTCCGGCTGCTGAACAAATTTTAACCTAGAAATCCTCCTTGTCCTGTTTGCCTACACTCAAGTCTTTTGTACTTCTTGACAGGCATTATCAACAAGCCGCTAACTGAACCATTCTGTATGTCCCTACATTAGACTAGACTACCGAGAGACTAAGAATATGCTATAACCAACCGTTATTGAAGGCAGATAATAGGCAACAAACATCAACATATCTTCCAGCTAGGTTGACTGATATAGTTATTAAAGTATTGGAGAGGACTCAGAGAGAGAGAGAGTACTCAGTTTTGTGAAAGACCACACTCTGTTTACACCGCTACAACATGAATTTGGTGCTGGTCTCTTCTGCCTAAATAACCTCCATGTAGCGGGAGAGGGATGGTCAGCAGCTCGATACAACAAGCTACTCATAGATGCTGCTAACTTACTTCATTAGGGATTTTGCTGAGATTTCGCACCTGCAACTATTGAATAATCTCCGAAGTTTAGGCTCTGATACTACGATCCAGGCCTGGATAGAATCATTTTCGTGAGAAAGGGGACACAGTGAGACTGAATTAAGTATAATCTAAGTGGTAAACGTTTAGGATTCGGCTTTCTCAAAGAAAAAGTTTGGTTACCTCCCTTTGTCTCTTCATCTTAATGAACTCCCAGATATGATTTTTTTCCCAGGTTACTATTTGCGGATGATATGAAAATATGGAAGGTTATCCGTAGCGAGGCAGACAGATATGAGTTATAGGGGGGGGGGGGGGAATTAACTGAATTCGCCAAATGGTCCAAGTGTTAGAAGTTAACTTTAGCGAACACTCAGTTATGCATATAGACAATAGCGGTTGGGATCAGTACTTAACAGATGGTGCATCAGTACCTGACGCTCAAAAAACTAAGGACTTAGGACTGATAGCCATCTGACATCTGTCTGCTGCAATGAATTTGCAGCGATATGGTTTCGAGTACTCTGGTCTCTTCACATAACGTTTAAGTGCTTTGATGAAGGCGTCTTCCAGACATTTTATCCACGTTTGTGTGCGAAAAATTGGAATATTGAGTTCAGGTGGCTAGCCGCTGTTTCATAAAAGATGCTAAGACACTGAAGTGTGTTCAGAGACTTCACCTATAAGAACCGATTACCTTCGAGGCTGACAAAATAAAGTTTACAAACCAAGGTGGAATCAATTTAGTGTGAGCCTATACTTCTAAAACGAAATGGTCAACGACTAGAACTCCTTACACAAGCAAGTGTAGTTGGTCATCTCCTTCAGTGAATGAAGTCAAGAAGAAACTAAATCCTCATTCAGAAACACACTACAAGGATTAAAACAAACCAAATTGGACTGCTGTCTTAACTATTGAAGACTGAAGATAAATCTTCAACTGTACGAGAACCGTAACGAATGCAAGAAAATCAGACAGTCAAACTACTCAATCCTTCCATTCTTGACAACCATGAAATAACCCTGAAAGTACCAACTGAAGAACTGTCGCTTTTTCTTACCTATTAGTAAGGAAATGAAAGGAAATTTACGGTAGATATGCTTTCCAGCGATGTTTGAAACTTATTTTTGTTTTCAACTCCCTTTCTTTATTTAAATTAAAAGTATATGAGGTACAGATAATCATCTATGAGACTTCAAAACACTAACCGCGTGAACTGTGATGGGGATGTTAATAATCACCTAGCGGATTCTACTACCTCTAAATTATTTGCATGAAATCCTGCAGAGTTACTTAAATGGGGTTCGAAAATCTCAGGAAAATATTGGACTCATGACACTGAACATTAGATAAAGTTCTACAGATTTAAGATAACAAAAATTGAAAATCAAGTGACGAAGCAACAAAAAGCCCCAGCGCAATCACTTTTCAGAGCTGAGAATAACAACTATGGTCACCCAGCCACTAGATTGGTCCATATAAGGTTCTATGGTAATAGCTCAAGGACGCTAAGACTATATATTACTATAAAGTACTTTCATGTCAAGACCGTGGATCATTGGTTACTGGCAGTACTCAACTGGTAGATGTTGCGAATGAGTTTATGAACATACAAAAACAAGGGGAAGCAGCAAGATGCAAAGGTTGATTTGTATGAGGGACTGAGATAGTCTGTCACTAAGTGCAAGAAAATGAACGGGCGTGACCAAACATTCATCTGAGTAAGAAGTACAAAACCAGTTGGAAAGTTGAAAAGCCTCAAACCCTCCTTCGAAGAAACATCATGTAAAACTGGTCACCATCAAGAGGGTCGAAGAAAACTTTGACGATTTTCTCCCATGATTCTGTGGAGATTTACGTTTCCTATGTGCAGGTCGCCTGTATTCAACCTGAGTACCCGATAACTATTTGCCTGAAGTCAATACTCCTGACAATACCAAGGTGAGTTGACAGCAGTCTATTGGTACTCTACAGCGCGCAGAGTAAAGCGATGTTTGCTGCTTCTTCACACATATTGGGAAATAAAGTAAGCGCCAACCCAGCCAGCAGCTAGAAAGTTCTTATAAATATCTAAGTCCATTCGTCATAAGTCGTCGTCTCTCGGAGGAAGAGGTTCGTTGTTGCGCAAAGTTTTATGAAGTTATCTTGTAAAAGCACTAATTTTTAACATACGTTACGAAGGAAATGTCATGATGGCAAAAAAAGCCCTGGTGCCTTCGGTGTTAGAGGTCAAAAGCAAAACTACATCTAGTATCATTTTTTTGGATGACTTTAAATTAGATTTCTTACCAGCTACGGCGGACCAGTTGGGTATCCCAGAGGCATCTCCAGAGGATAAAACCTTTAGGCACAATTACCAAACTCAACAACTGCAGACGCTGAAGATGGTAACCAGTCAAAGTCATCGGTGAAAATTTTGGTGGTTGCTGTGATAAGACCAGATCTAGGATTGCAGTTTATCATGTTGCGTATTTCACGAGAAGCCATGACTGTACTGTGTACCTGTAAAACTAAGAGATTAATGACCCACCCTTTTAGCACTATACCCTTTTGGGCTGCAATTACCATAAAGTTCGTGGGATCTTCGTCCACTCATATAGGAATAAAAGGAATAGTTGATGAGTCTACTAAGTAGTACTTCTGCAACATTTCGGATAAATTAATTGGGCATTGCAAGCCTAAAGCCTCCAGAAGTTCCGTGTTACATGTTATCCACCTCTTATTTATGCACATGTGACTTTCTTCCTACCACAACCCTTCGAGTTTTCATGATAGAAGCCTTCTTCTTTGGACGAGTCATGTGGCAAGACCAGAAATGTGCGTTTATATGTAAAAAGGTTTCCTTTATTTTTATACGTATTAAGATCTGAAAAGACCGTTTTTCCCTTTTTTATTTTAAAAGAGTTTCGAAGTGTAAATGATGAAGTAGATGAGTGAAGAAGGTTCAACTGCTTTGTATGTCTCGTAAATGTGGCATCATGGAATATATTTCTATGCTACTACCTTCATAACTTTTTCTCATTGGCAGACGAATTAGGAAATTTGGCCAGCAGTGCAGAAATTTTACAAGGACAATTCACCATAAGAGCTACCTTTACCCTTGCAAGCGTAAATAAGGCCGTAAGTAGGTGAATTGTGTTTAAAAGACGGTAAAATCCTTTTCTAAGTAAAATTTCCGCATTATTTCTACAGTCCTATGCACAACATTGACGGCATTATTTTCACATTCTGGTTCTACTGGGTTCTGTCACATTCCAAAGTTTGAGGCACACCTTTAGAACAAACTTTAGGACTTATGGAACTGTGAGTGTACTTAGAAATTTCGAAGTATTTTAGGGAGATTCCGTCTTCCAATTTAGGAAAACGATCCAGTCTTTGTAAAGTTCAAAGGAACTTTTTGTGCTTTTAACCTCACATACTTCCCCAAAATTAATAGCCTAGGGTTCGACGACATTCAACATTGATGCTGACCTTGATAGTTTAACTGAACTTGCTAAGCCGAAGGCATTCAGTCAAGCATCCTCGCCATTCGGCACGCTGTCGTGTTACGTTGCACTGCTCGTATTCCACTATCTAGCCAGTTAGTTGGAACGCATCGGTATTTTGGCATAACCACCCAAATATACTATTCCATCCGACTACGCTATCGTGTTCTTCCTTGGTTTCGTACTCGTGGGTATATAACAAGTTCGAATAATTAGTGATTGGTCTTTGCATCTGTCAAGTTCGCACCAGGACAAATCCTAAATGCTCACTAAGAAAACAAGGACAAAATCTAGATTGCACCTCCGTGTTTTTGCAGAAATGTAAAAAAATAATTACTGCTGGAATTACCGCGGAAACTTCAAGGCGTATTCTGGCTGCTATGGTTGATAAACAAAATTGGAATTCGATGCTTTGCAGCCATCACATGACTGATAAAAACGTAAAAACAGCTTACTTTTTTTCCAGAAATCAGAGGCGTTATGATTTCGAGTAAATCTGTGAATTTCTTCAGGGAATATGGGGCTTTAGGGATAAGTTTTTCGCTAAATTCAGGTAGTGTTGCCGGAGTACTCAATGCATTACGTCTTTTTGACAGTTCGAAAAGGGTTTCAAGCCTAACAGCTCCACACAAATTAACATGTAGACCGATTCCGTGGGCATGCTCACGTAACAACATTTCTAATGAACTACAAAGTCAAATGTGCGTTCGTTTGTAAGTGCATGTTTCCTATATGCTTAAACAAACATCATAAAGAACAATAATTTCTAAAAAGGTTCTAGTATCATGCATTCTTACTACTAAACTCTTAAACATTTTTCGATATCATATAATTGCTCTTCATGAAAGCTCCGAAATAGAACAACCGTTACCAGTTAAGATTTTCAGCCTACGCAAAAAAGATAAATGTATTTTCGCTTCCAGTGAATTGCGTTTCAAATGAGCTAAGATTTGAGGTTTTTGTCTATCATTAATCACCAACTACAGTGAGGCAACCTTCAGCGTAAACCCATATAGACAGAAATAACATGATATCGTTAGGAAGCATTTAATTCGGCTTTCACGTTCAGATTCAAATCTACTGTTTAAGGTGAAAAGCAGTGAGCATTTACAAATCTACTAGATATATGCTTCACCAGTGCATTTTGAAAGAGTCAGTTGATGACACGAACACCACTTCTTCTGAGAGTCGGCTCCATAGGTTGATTGCTCGACTAAAGAGCAAGTACTCTATGGAGACTACGTTCGTCCTCTACATTCATATTCTCCTGTTATGTCCTCTGAGGCGTCCCAACCTAGTGGAAGGGAAAACAGAAGATAGATCAGGTCCAAAGCCATCTCTTAGAATCCCGTATCGCATGGTTGGATCTCCCCTCCATCTCCGAAAGGGTAAAGAGAAGAGGTTTGGCTGCATGAGTCGATCTTCATTGGTCAGGCCAGGCGCCACAGGAACCATAGGAGTAGTTGCTCCCTGAACTCGTTCCAGAAAATCCGAGTCACCCTTCAGACAAGGATTTGCGGTCCATGAACAGTTCCTTAGTTTAGACCTAGCTTAGAGCATGCATAAAATGGAAAAAACGTGTCACCACTTATTTTTGTGAATGTTCTGCGTATTGCCCAGTGTCCAAAAACCCCGACCCACGACCAATCGACAGTGCGGCGTGGTCTTCAAATCACGATCTGCAGTGACTTCCAGGTCATTGTGGGCCAGTACTGACGGTGGAGGAGTCCTGTCAATATCGTAGGCGTTGCCACCTGTATCCTCCATCCACACGCCCATACGTTTACCTGCGTTGACAGGCATTAGCCAATGCCCCAACCAGGTAAAGAAGCTATCCGCCCGAGGTGCACGTGTATCCCCGTCATCCCTTATTTCCCTCCAGACTTTTACGTTATCATAGCAGAGAATCATAAACGGTCTCGCGATATTTGGCAGCTTATTTACGTATAGGAGAAACAGCAAGGGACCCAGAACTGTGCCTTGTGGTATTCCACTTCCTACCGACTTCCAAGAGGAGGGTTGAGAAATGACCCCTAATCGTCGCCTCCTGCCAACAAGAATCCCTCCTGTTCATGCAAGCAGGTTGCCAGTGATTTCAAGACTTTGCAGTTTCCCGGGCAACTTGGAATGAGGTACCTTGTCGAACGCAGGTATTCTAACGTCCTTAGGCTTTGCCCGACTTTCTCTGGCCGTGAGCAGGTCCATGAAGCGAAAGAAATTTCTGCAAAGGTCGTGCTGTGAATGAGATAGCAGAGTGTTGCTCTCTAGGTGTACTATGATGGCTTTCTTGGTCGCTACTTCTATGGCTAGTCAAACTTACCGGCCTGTAACTTGGTGGGTACTGTCTAGAACCTGCCTTGTAGATAGATGTTGCTATGACATCCTCCCAATCACAGGGGAGTCCACCTCCACTGAGGGACAGTCTGGACATAGTAGCTAACGCGCCAGCTGCACAGGGCACGAGCCCTCCGAGCAGCCCTGAGTGCAGCTCATCCAGCCCGGTTGATTTTTCCACACCGAGAGTACCAAATGTTCGAAATACATCGTTTGGATCGATATCCACAGAGATTATTCTATCGGATGCCAATGCTTCTGCGTCTAATGGGTGTCCACAGAAGATTCCTGTGTAAAGACCCCAGAAAATATGCAGCCGCAGCTTCCACCTTCCCTTACTGTCTTCAATTAAGCAGCCAACTTCTGCCCCTTTCAATGGGGTACGTATACCGTGATACGTCTCATCTCTATGGTTCATGCAGGATAATGATCTCTTCGCAACGCAACCTGGGCAGGGAGTTTTTCAAGGCTTCTTCGGGCATCTTTGTGGTGCTTCATCACCTCGGAGGTTCCGAGGTGGCGGGGTAAGTCCCCGACACCTTCCCTTAGCTTGTGCAAGACTAGGATTTCGTTTTTTATCCACGGAAGACAATGTTCCCGTTCCTTCGGAATGGTTCACGGAGTGAGCGGCTGGGCCACTCGTGCATATGGCTGGTTGAAGTAGCACTGTGCAGCCTCGGCTGAGGCTTTTGGATTGACTGTTCAGTTCTCCGGAAAGGCTGCCAAGTAAATAGCCCCAATATTCGCTTTCCGTACATTGGGTTTAGCTGGGTCATCGGCCAGGTACAAGATGGTTGCTGTGACTCTGAAAATGATTATGGCACTGTCCCTTATCATACTGTTGTTCTGAGTGTTCTCCACATCATTGCACTTGGTTACTATGTCAGCAAGCCGGGACCGACTTCAGGCAAGGAGCCTCCGGGTTACCGATAAGTCTACCCACCATGGGTGCCTTCAGCATATCATCCAGGTTAACTTCCACCACATCATCAGTGCATGCACATATTCTTTTACATCCAAGTACAGTGACCTCCCTGTTTCGCAGGAGTAATATAAGTCTCGATTGCGTGAAACATAAGCACTGGCTTGTACATGAATTTCAGGCAAAAACCCGTTGTAGGACAGGAGTTGGACTAGACGCCAGCTAGATTCCGACTCCTCACTTTATTAAAGGAGCCACCTTCCAGAACCTAACGTCATTTCAATGACCGAAAGTTTTTTCTCTTGTGTAGTGTGAATCCCCGATACGTATCTGTTTATTCATTTTAAAACTGCGGCTGGACTAGTAGCCTGGAGGCCGCCGGTTCGAATATTGCTGCAGCGTAGGTCTCAATTCTGACTTCGGTCATCACGCGGTACCAAAATCACCAGTCTACCAGATCACACCTACCTCTGATAGTCTCACTGGATGAAGTGGATGTGGTTCACTGCCTTCCAGTAATAAAGGTGTGAAGAGGAAGCCGGATCAGCTCTTCCGGCTACACAGTAACTGGTTTTCTGAAGCAGCTTGTTATCGCTGATAGCTAATGAGGTAGAACGTCAGATATTGAAACGACGCGGTATGCATTGCGAGACCTGTTGCACACTTATTTCCTACCACTGTCTGAGTTTATCTGTGTGGTTTGTAGGGCGAGAACTAGTTGAAACGCTGTTGTTCCAAAAGCTGATCAAAGAATTTTGACCCGATGGACGTGAGTAGCAACCTACCAACTGTAAAGTCTAGTCAGCATAGTTCCGAGCTGGTGTGTGACTGAATGTCATGAGAGCTAGAGAGAGTGAGAGAAGTGTCTTGCGCTGGAGTGTTGGATAAGTTAAAAGAGAAAGGGGGACAGAAACCTGTTCGTTTCTTTTCTTAGACGAATAGTACAAGCTGAACAACTCAGGCCACATGATTGTAAACACTCAACTCTCACCTGTTCGGGCGAATGACTATCAGGGATGTCGAAGACTGTCGGATTAAAAGAGGATCGCATTCGGTAACCTGCTTCTCTGGCTACAAAATCAACTAAACCCCATCAGGTAGGAAGTTAAGTTCGGGGTCTAACAGGTACGTCAGTAACTAATTGCTTTCCGTCTTACACCATGTTTTCAACCGACTTTGAGATTTCCAGGGTACCCGATTCGGATTTACTCACATCTCTGTGTTCGTCGGTTATCAGATGGGGTGGCTAGCACGGCAGAAGGCGGTCGTTGGTGGAACTTTCGAATTTCGGTGACACCTTTAGTACTGTTCATGGAGTAACGTCAGTTGGAGAGCTGCTGAACACCCAGAAGCACTGGACAACTGTTTCGTCCTGGCATGTGACTCCTCAGCAGCAGACACTCACGACCCGACTAAAGATCGAGCTCCAGATCCTCAGATTCCGCGGCGAACCCGTTGACAATTCAGCCACTGGGTCTGAGTTCAAAGGCTGACAGTTTTCAACTTCTGCTGATCCACAATATAACGCGAATACCACTCAAGGTCTTCAGGTGGCATCCGCTTCACTTCTGGCTGGTTGGCCCCACAGGCCACAGCTTCTGACTAGGGCTTCGGGATTTCAGTCTAACCGAACGGTTAATGTGTTCGCCACGAAAACTGAAGGCCCTGAGTTCGATTCTCAGACGGGCCGTGGGTGCCTGCTGCTGAGGAGTCCCATATATGACGAAACAACAGCCCAGTGCTCCTAGGTTTTCAGTGGTTCTCCAACCGCTGTCAATCCGCGATGAGTACTACCTCAAAAGTAAAATCCCCATCTGCCTCAAAATGTACCACGATGTCTTCAGTCTTTCCGTGCTAAGAGTCTTATTTCTATAAGCGCCATAGACACTGGTCTTCATAAACAGATAAATAAGTGCTTTGTTCTCACGTTAACAATTTACCATGAAAGAAGTCAGTTAACAAGCATCATCACATGGATATATATTTCAAAACCTACAAGATTTTACGGGTTACGAATGGCACTGGGGCTATGTCATTAAACCCCACTAAATACATCAGAAGATCGTGCTTGTTATGAAATGAAGAAGAAAACATCATATCCCAGCTTAATGGTTTGATAATTATAGATATTATCCTCACATAATGCATTTGCCGTGAGAGATTTCAGTTTACAAACACTATCAAACTGATAATTCTCGGAAGTTTACAAAATAGTATTAAGTGTTAAACAAGTCACACATCAATTCATTGATGTGCATAACCTCATTGAAAATTGCTGCAGTTCCTGAGACCGGGATGGATTTTCATCTCCCATCGCACAGACAGGTTTCACTGTTGGGAAGAAAAGCGCGGAATGTTTGAAGTTTGCGTTATAACCACCCGCGTTTGTTAGTCCACTTGCATAGTTTGTTATTCAGTAATATAACAGTCTATTCATTGAAAATTTCTTCGGTTTCTAGCTTTGCTAACCACGAAGGACCACCGTATGTGATCTAGAGTATCAGTAAAGTACCCACAGTTATATAACAAAG